ATTGAATTCTATAAAAACTGAACAAAACAAGCTTCTAATTTTTTTTATTAGCTAAATAAAATGACGTTTTAATAGTGGAATACACAAGAAATAAGTTTATCAAAACATGTTTAATTTAAACCAATATATAAAACAAGAGAAGTATTTTCAGCAGTGCATGAATTGAATCAATTGTTTCTGATCACCATGTTCTTGAAGATTTAAGAAGAACTAATAGGTTTCAGCTTCTCTCACCATTTTTATGCATAGATTGGAAAAGGAAAACTAGCTTTCCTGGCTTCTCAGCTTAAATGAACAAGTTATTTTCTAAAGTTAATTAAATAAACAAAAACAATCTTTAAGTAGAAAAGGCTGTTGCTGTCTAATATTTTTAAGTGTTTTGCCTAACTTGTTCCATATGGTTAGCCAGAGACTTTATTTAATTTAGGGGTTTGACTTTCTTTAAAACTTCAAAAGCACTACTCAAAAAAATTAATTGAAATGATCTTAAAAGAATTAAATCAATTTAGACCTTAAGATAAGGGGTTTTAATTTCAGATTTAATTTTCAGTAGGTTTATTCATCAAAAAAATTGAATTAAAAATATCAAATTTTTTTCAAACAAAATGTCTAAAGAGCATGGTGGGATCCTACTGACACAATAACTTGTTGGTATACATGGGGGTGTAGTTTATGCAGAGATTTTTCTTCTATTAAAATTCACTTGACGTAATTATATTCCTCAATCCCCCTGCCCTCGGTCTTGAGAGACTCTCTCCTGCCACTAGAGCTGGTAACAGTGCCCCCAGCTCCCCCAAAAGTTTAATGAAAACTACTTTATAAAGACAGTCTCAAAGCTTGCCTTGTGTTTAACTTAAACATATTAGCTTAAATAGAGCTTTTTCAGTCCTCTCTTTAAGAAGAGAGAAGACCTTAACTCTTAGATTGGATATAATGGGGAGGGAATTTAATTCTCTAGTTGAATTCTCCAATTCATAAGACCTAGAATTTACTTCTGATACCGTCTCATAAAATGGACTCCCAGAAAGCTGTGTCACTAAGTATAGGAACCATTAAATGTCTAATTTGCTCTTTCATCCCCCAAGAATGCCAGTAAATTGTACAGGTTTGATGTTGGATGGCTTAATCATCACAGCATGCTCTCATTTATTTATCCTAGAATAGCCTTCTAGGAAATAGAAATGATTTTGTGGGGGGGTGTGGAGGGGATGAGGAAGAGGTAATATATTCAGCTTAGTCTGCTTATTTCAGTGTCTGTGCCATAGTTGGTCCTTGTCACGGTTTCTTTTAAATTCTGACTGGCTGTAATAGAGATTATCCATTTTGGAACATATGCATATTCCAGTATGTTCCTGGACAGTAGAATAAGAAAAATTATAAATTATAGCATAACTATTGACGGGCTCCTCTCTGTCCAGTCCCCTAGCTTTGGTCATTATGTCAAGCACCCATAAATATTTATGGTCCAGCATCTTAGAGGTAAAATCTTAGTCCTTGTCTTGAACACAAAATTTAAATGTTAACGTGACAAAAGTGAGAGTTGCAGAAATTGGAGTGTAGGGGAGGGAGATAGGAAGGACACTGAGAACAGTATTGCTTCAAGGCACGTACATTGTTTAATTGTTCATTTTTTACCTTTTCTGGTTGCCCATCTTTCCCTTATCGCAGGTTTACTGACAGAAGTGAATGTTTGGTAGCAAATCAAATCCACCCAGGGAAACAGCTTGTCTGAAAGGTCTATGGAGGGATAATATTATACGTGTAGGAGAAACAATATGAAGGTGTAGAAATTATTTGTGGAAGAGAAGTGAGATTGGATTCACTGGAAGCAAAAGGAACCAGGTCAGAGGTATGAGCAGGGATCACATGATGCGAGGCCTTGAAAGCAAGTTCATGACGTTTGTATTTGATTTGCAATGCAGAGCTGAGCCAATTTGGTGACTGAAACCAGGGGTTGGAGGAGACATTGAAGCAACTCCTGAGAGATGATGTTGGCAGTGGCATTTTCAATGGACTGGATTGGGGCTAAGCTAGTGCCAGAGACAACAGAATTTTGCAGTTGTTGAGATAATGAGGATACAGACAATCAATTTGCCTTTGGGATGGGAAAGAAAGATTGCTGCTACAATGAGTCTAGTTAGTATAGTAGTTTACAGGAAAGGATTAAAAACAACATTTAGCAATTTGCTAACAGTTCAGAACTACCCGTTATTTACCAAAGATGCACGAGGCCACAGTAGTGACTCCAAATTATTTCCTAATTACCGAAAGACTTCATGGATTTATGATGAATTCAAGGGGAGTTTCCTTGGAGTCTTTCATGGGATCTATATGATAAGGGGGAAGAGAAAATGAAAAAGTTTCTTGAAAGTGATCAAACAGTTGCCTTACTGCAGTGATTTTCAGAAAGGGGGTGCAGCCAAATCCCTGAAAGGGTACCGTGGACAAAAGTGAAGTATGTAATATACCAATTAGTTTTTTAAATGGGGTGCCTCATGTCCAATGAGGTTGAGAACCTCTGCCATAGTGACTGGTACCTTTTAATTAGAATAAGCATATTCTGTCTCTGTGTGTGAAGAAAAATGCTAAATCTTGCTATATATGACACGTACCTGGAACAACTGGCAGGAAGAATTCTCACTCCAAATGTGTTTGTTTTGTTTGTTACCTGATCCAAAAAGCAGTGCAAGATCTCTCTCTTCCCCCTCCTCCCCCCAAATTTTTAGCTGACTTTCTTATCAGAAAGAAAAGTGATACTTTAAAGCATGTCCTGATAGCTTATAGTATGCTTTCAGACATTTGCAATACAGTAACAAAATTTAAATGTGAAAATTGCCTTTTCAAGGTTGTAGCTGCTTTTTGCCAAGAATGCCTTGTCAGTGAGAGCACAGTGACTTTGTGCTTTCTTAGAGATTTCACTTCTTCAGGGGGTTTTGCTGTGAAATCTAGGTCAGAGGACAGTGCCACTGCAACAATGTAGCATAAAGGAGAGTTTATGCTGAATGAGATCAACTAGTTTGTACATGTTGTGTTATGGATAGGGACCGACCTAAATCACAGCAAGACAAAGGGTTTTTCGTGGCCCACTCATGTTGCTCATTGCTGATTTTTGTGGGCATTTCGCAGCAGCCCTCCCTCAGAGTAGATTGGGGGAGAGGAGGAATGAGGGGGTGGCCACCATCTTGATTGCTGGCTGCCCTTGGCACTGATTGGTGGAGAAGCCGTGGCAGGGGGAGGAAGGATGAAGGGGCAGCCACCATTGTCTGCTGCCCTTCATGCTGCTCCACCAGATGATGTCTTCCCCTCCTGGCAGCAAGGACCTCTAGCTCCCACTAGGGAGCCAGCATTTTATGTTTATTAAGTTTAGTGTTTTTTTGTGTTTGTTTTTGTTTTGTTTTTTGTTTTTTATTTTTGCTGATTTCACAGACAGTCCTGGATTTTGCAGTCTCCGTGAAACCACAAATTAAGTAGGTCCCTAGTTATGGGTAGTTAAACGAGTCCTTTTTCACCAATTCAGTTCTCTCATATAGACACAATCACAGTGATTAATCTAAAGCCAAAGGAATATAGCTATTGGTGGAAGAAAGGCTTAACGATGATCGTGTTGTGTGGGAATTGGGTATCAATGAATAGACAGACAGAATAAAACCTGTTTTACATATCCAGTAATTCCAAACCAAAGGTACATAAAAAGCTTTTAAAAGTGCCTGTAAATAGTATACAATTGATTGGGTATATCAGCAAAGTAGCTAGGATCCTGTGTTTGTTAGCTCAAAATAAATTAAAACTGCTCCTAAAGAAGAAAAATCCTGTGTTTTGGTCATGATTATATAGTTACTAAAGAACATTTTCTCTCTAAAGTGAATCAGAGGCATAACTGGCCAGTACTGCACTCTGAGCAGTACTGTACCCTCCTTGCGATCCTGTACCTTCCCAGTTCTGGCAGAGAATTGGCAGTGGAACAGGGGCAGCTGGGTGGCACGGCTGGTGGAAGAGATGTCATTCTCTCCCCCCCTCCCTTGGGGGGGGGGGGGGGGGGTGGTTTGGGGGGGTGCCGGGGGGGGGGGGGGGGGGAGCTATTGATGGGTGTTTAGTAGCCAAAAAAGTTTTTTTGGCAGCAAAAACAGTGCCACCTCCCCACCAGCAGCAGCAAATCCATAACTGCTTCTGTAGCTTGTGCCACTGATGTACCTCTTCCCTCCCTGCTGTCAAAGCCAGAGGTGCTTCAAGGAAGGTCCTGAGGTTGGGAGATGGAATAGGAGACAGGAGGGTAAGCTCCTTCTCCCCCAGGCTGTACCCAGGGCTTGTGAGCTGGAATGAATGTTTTAGACTGTGCTGTACAGGTTTGGTAGCTGGGTAAAATTAATATAACACAAAGCCCAAATGATGCCTGAGATCCTTTGGGTAAGATGTTCAGATCCTTGTGCTTTTAGAAACTTTTAACCTTGCATTTAATTTACTAGTATATTTTGGGATGCTTGCCAAGAACTGGCACATAAATTTTACTCAAGAGGGCTCATTGGCAGTTCTCAAGTTGGCTGTTTCTCATTCTGGATCACTACTCCACAAAGAAAACTTGTAAAATATATGCAACTCTAAGACTCCTTATGCAGCTTATATGCCTAGTTCAGTGTGATTTGTCTTGAGCCCATTTCATTCTGAACACTTGCAGCAGTTTAATCTGCCTGGTCTCAAATGGGAAAAACACCAAGATAAAGTAGACAGGTAAAAAGCAAATGTCCCCTTATAAAAATCTCTTTGCTGTTTAAAATCATGACTCTCTCTCGAAAAGATAAAAGAATTGTCTTGGCTCAGATCATTCTTTCATGTGTATTTAATGTCATAATTTTCAAAGGAATTGGTCTGTTAGATACCTAAACTGCATAGTGCATGTTAAGTTTTCCCTCCTTTCCATGCGTGTTTGCTCTTATACCAGTTTTCCTTTCAGTGTGACTCATAATGTTCAAAACATTCATTGCATATTTCCTCCTTCCCTACAGCAACAGCCAGAGTCTGAGACTGTTCATCTGTTCATCCCAGCCTTGGCAGTAGGAGCCATTATCGGCAAGCAGGGACAGCACATCAAACAGCTCTCTCGTTTTGCAGGTGCATCTATTAAGGTACAGTTAAACTGCCTAACTTCCCGTCTCTTCTGTGTGATGCTCAGAGCAAGTTCTCACAAGCAAGCCGTGTTCTTGTAAACGTGCTCCTCCACCCTCCACAACTCAGTAACTCAAGGATGATGTGGTAAATGGTATATGTATTTATAAATTCACCTTTTAATTCTCCTTGAGAGACAAGATAATTAGATGCGTGTTTGCAGAAGTCTCTTGAGGTGTGAAATATGAGGGGGAAAGAAAGCTACCTTGGTGGTCTCAACTTCTTAGAAAAATGCCTTTTAGTAAGGTCCTAATGATCTGTTACTAAAGGCTTTCTTGACATATTAAGGCAAACAAAATCCAGTATCTCCAAATTTGCCTGCTAATTAAACACACAGGGTAGGTCTTGAACTAGAACTATAGTGTTCTGTCTAGTGTTGCTCCAAAAGGATCATATAAGATACTAAGATCATCTGACTCTGCTCTAAGATACTGTTGGAAAAGTAAGTGTTGTCTATGCTAGGTTGCCATACAGGACCATTTTCTTCTCACCAGGTTTAATGGATTTTGTACCTAAAAATTCCAGCATGAGTCAGATTTTGTACTAGTTCAAGCTAATCCAAGGATAAACGTTAAATTCAGTTGATGCAGTCTCTGATTCTTCTTTGGCTACACTTCTGTAGCTGTGCAGATGCCAACTCTTAGTGACTGGCTGAACCTGCTTTCTCCATTCTGTTCAAGCATAAGAAAAGTGTTGGGCTCGCACTAACATTATCTTAGTTGAGGATGTTTTGGCAAAATTCCCTCATGCAGACACAGTTTCTAGATCGGGGTGGGCAATTATTTTGGGTGTAGGGCCACTTACTGAGTTTTGGCAAGCCATCAAGGGCCACAAGACAGGCAGCCAGGGGTAGATAAATATTAATTTTCTACATTTTTAGGTGTCCCCCATAGGCCGGATAGAATGGCCTAGTGGGCCGCATCTGGTCCGTGGGCCACATTTTCCCCACCCCTGCTCTAGAATCTAGGCCTTACTGTTGGGGATTGGGGCCCTGAATTATTCTGCCGGTTGCTTAATGTATTGTATCAAACTACAAAATGTATGTAGGCTCTATGCAGAGTTCAAATTACACTTTGACTCTAGGGCAGGAGTGGGCAAAATACAGCCTGTGGGCCAGATCTGGCCCGTGAGGTCATTCTTTCCAGCCCACAGGGCCCCTAAAAGTTTAGAAAATTAATATTCATCTGCCCTTGGTTCCTGTCAAAAATGACAGGAAGCAAGGGCAGTAGGACCCAGGGGAAGCTTGGCGGGCTCCCACAACAGCAGGGCCTGCCTGCCCTTGCCCCCACAGCCGGAAGCCCCAGTAGGGGCTTCTGGCCCAGGACCATGTGGCTGCCCCGTGCCGGAACCAAGGGCGGGGGAGGACCCCGACCAGGGAAGGAGCCCAGGGAAAAGTGGCCCCGGGGAAAAGCTGAGGTGGGGGGGGGGAGCAGCCCCCCCCCCCCCCCCCCCACACTTATAGCCTCAGAAGCTCTACACTTGCTAACATCATAGCTGAAAGAGACTTGGGGGTTATGATTGACCACAAGATGAACATAAGCCACCAATGTGATATCGCCTCTGGAAAAGTGAACAAAACTGTGGCTTGCATCTACCGACGCTTCTTAAGCAAGACCTAGGATGTCATCCTTCTGCTGTACTTACTTGACCAGGGAACACTGGTCATGGAGCAGGTGAGGGGCTGCTTCCTTCCCCCACACCCCATGCTCAGCTTTTCCCTGGGCTCCTTCCCGGCGTGGAGGAAAGTGGCCCCTCTCCTGCCCCATGGCAAGCGCCCTGCACTGCAGCCACTCACAGCCCATGTGGGGCTGTCTGGAGCAGGTGAGGGGCTGCTCTGCTCCCCACCCCCGCGCTCAGCACCACCTTGTAACCTGGCCCCACTGCCAGCCTGGGCCCCATGCTGGCTCTGGCCTCACCCATTGGGGCTGTGCATGGTGACATCAGCTGTGGGGCCTCCCCCCCCCCCCCTTTTCCCCACCCGGCTGGGTTTCGCCCCCCCCCC